CGCCTCCCAGGTTCAAGCGATTCTCCTGCCTCAGCCTCCCAAGTAGCTGGGATTACAGGCTTAAGCCACCGTGCCCAGCCTGATTTCTATATTTTTAGTTACATATTTATTATTTATCTTTACCTTTTTCCAAATTTTCTAAAAATAAAAAAATTACTCATATTTTTAATTACAAGCTTTTTTTTTTTTTAAACAAAATAAATAAGATCAGCCATCCAGTTGTAGATATGGGACACTCTAGGTAATATCTGTAGATATATATGTCTTCCCTATAAGACTCAGGACCCTCGTGAATGATACCTTAGGTTAGTGTTCCTTGGAACCCGTGTCTAGCACAGGGCCTAAAATATGAGCTACATTTATTAAGAAACGTTTGTTTAGCAAATGAATTCTGAGTATGTCCAAAAACCCAAACAAGGTAACCCTGATTTATCCTCCAGATGGTACAAAAATGACTAGGATCTCCCACTAGCATCTGCCCAAGGACTTCCCTGTTGGGGATATGATGATCAGCCAGAAAGATGCTATTAGCCTGCATTATAGCTTAATGTCCGTTGCTTCTAATATCTTCCAGTGAGTCCTTTGTCCTTACTCACCTAGCTCCTTTCCTTTTAGTATTGTCTACTGAACTGAGCCAAGCTGTTTTGCCCAAATCTTGCTCTGAAAGAAGCTATAAGAAAAACGGCTAGGGGAAAAAAAAAAAAAGAAAAACGGTTAGGGTGTTCAGTCTTGTATTCTGCTACAGCTATCCAGGCCACTCCAACACTTTAAGAGAACCCACAGGAAAAATCTGTCTCAAATCTCAATGCCATTAAAATACCTACTTTTCAGAGCAAATAACACATTTTAATTTTATGAGCGCTATGAATCTTGAAATCTTTTTTCTCTCTGCTTGCAGCTGAGAGCCAAATCTGCAGTGACCTTACTACATGCATTGTCTATTAGCTAGCTTTTCCTCGTTTCATCTTATTATTCTTTCCTTCCTCTAGATGACCTTGCTTTATCTTTATTTTTTCTCTCTCTCAGATCATGTATATTTTTAGAAGTCCTTTTGGCATGAGGTAGGGTATAAACAAACCATAAAATTAAATACAACCCCAAAGCCCCCAATCCCATGCTGTCTTTGGAGATTTTTATCCATGTAGCTTGCCTGCAGGACAAGAACGTAAAACAGCACCACTCTCCTTGCTGTACTAACCAGTGGGTGACCTGTATGTGCATTTGTGACAAAGAAGGTCTGAGGACCAGAGGACCCTTCCTTTTCACTTCCTGACCACTGCCTCTAAAATACACATAACCACCAATGTGAATAGAGCACCATGACTTAAGGCAAATGGTTAAGAGTGCAGACTTCAAAGCCAGACCACCTAGGTTTTAATCTGCCTGCCATATCCCCCATTCTAACTGCTGACTTTACACAAGTTAAATAACATTTGTGTGCATCTTTATTTCCCCATCTATGCAACAGGAATAATATAATGGTACTGACCTCATAAGACTGTTGAGAGCAACAAATGCATTAACACATGTAAAAGTGACTAGACCAGTACCTAACACACAGTAAATGTGGTACCATACTATAATAGGACACTCCTGTTTTTGTTTTTTGTTTTCTGTTGAGACTGGGTCTTGCTATGTTGCCTAGGCTAGTCTCAAACTCCTAGCCTCAAGCAATCTTCCCACTGCAGCCTCACAAAATGCTGGGATTACAGGCATGACCCACTGCTTCTGGCCATCGCTTTAGTTCAAGTCTGATTCACAATAATGTTTCTCACTGTAAATTACTAAACTAACAAACCCATTTGTGTCTGAATCTCATTTATAAATTAATGTTGATCCAAAATTTCCTGTATCCTGAATCAAGGACCAGAGAAAACAAATTAAAATAAAATAAAATGCGGAGTTCCTTCTAAACACCAGTCATGTTTAACCATAGTTTTCTGATATGAGAAAGCAGATTCCTGGGAATATATCCACAATTAGTAACAGGATTATCCCTAAACCCCTAAGTTTGCATGAATACACAAGTATACGCTACTGTGTGCACACACATATACCTGCCAAAGTCCCTCCATTTTCAACACAGACATCATTTAATATGCCTGAAGAGATTAAAAAAAAAAAAAACTCATAAACTATTTCTCAGGGCATTCTTTTTATGGAAACAGAGTCTCCCTGTGTCACCCAGGCTGGAGTGCAATGGCATGATCTTGGCTCATTGCAACCTCTGCCTCCCAGGTTCAAGCAATTCTCCTGCCTCAGCCTCCTGAGTAGCTGGGATTATAGGCGAGCACCACCATGCCCGGCTAATTTTTTTTTTTTTTTAGCAGAGACGGGACTTCACCCTGTTGGTCAGGCTGGTCTCCGTATCCTGACCTCATAATATGCCCGCCTCGGCCTCCCAAATTGCTGAGATTACATGCCTAAGCCACCGCGCCTGAAAAATAACGTATTTCAACAGGCAGCTGGTCAGAAAAAGATAAAATATTGTTTAGCTATCAAAGAATAACGCTGCATTGTTAGATACTTGAGGTCCTGATTTGCACCTGAGTTTAGAAGTTTAGAAAGCTACTTCATATATATGCACTGCTTTTTTTTTTTTTTTTTTTTTGAGATGGAGTTTTGCTCTTGTTACCCAGACTGGAGTGCAATGGCACGATCTCGGGTCACCGCAACCTCGGCCTCCTGGGTTCAAGCAATTCTCCTGCCTCAGTCTCCCGAGTAGCTGGGACTACAGGCGTGCACCACCATGCCCAGCTAATTTTTGCATTTTTAGTAGAGACAGGGTTTCACCTTGTTGACCAGGATGGTCTCGATCTCTTGACCTCGTGATCCACCCGCCTCGGCCTCCCAAAGTGCTGGGATTATAGGCCTGAGCCACCGCGCCCGGCCTTTTTTTTTTTTTTTTTTTTTTTTGGAGACAGGGTTTCACCAGGTTGGTCTTGAACTCCTGACCTCCTGATCCACCCGCCTCGACCACCCAAAGTGCTAGGATTACAGGCGTGAGCCATCGCTCCAAGCCTACATAAGCTCTTAAAATGGAAATTTCTCATCAGATTCCACACCTAATGCAAAGCAGAGCCCAACTCTAGCTGTGCCCCATCTTTGTCCCGGGCAGAGCCAGTCTCGGTAACTTCCTTCACACTCAGCCCACCAAGATGTAAGTCCTCAGTGAAGGACTATTCCACATACTTACGTACATGATTATCAAATAAAGAAACTTCATACTCCAACTGTAGGAACGCAAAGAAAGAAAACTAGGAAAGTATGAAAGCTGCAGAGTTTAGGAAGATCAAGGAAAAAAAAATCACTGAAACTCTTATCTCTTGCAACAAAAGTTACTTCAAAATTTGATGTAAATGGATTAAATTTCAGCATTTCGCTATACCGAAATTACACGAGATGGGAAGAAAAAACCAAGAATACATCGGAGCCACTTATCTTCCATTTCCTGCATTTCCCTTAAATACCTACCCAAACGAATGCACCTAAGAGTTGTTACAGTATTGACATACTCAGTCCTTTCTAATTACCCACCCAAACGAAAGCGCCGAAGAGTATGTTACAGTTTTTAATTAGAACGTGTCTCTTTTATAATTCTCTTATTTCTGCATATCACAGAAAATATTCTAAGAACAGAACAAAAGTGAACAAGGACAGTCCGCCAAGAAAACCGCTTTGAGAATTTAGTAATCTCAGCCCTCAGGTTTAGCTCGCCAAAGTCTTTGGGAGAGCGAAGGAAAAGATGATATAGCTACACTTCCGAATAGCAACAGCTGAGATTACTGCCGCATGCTAGATTCTTTCCACAGGGAGCGCGAGTACAGGGTTTTCTAAACGCTCTTCCCAAGATCCCGAGGTCAGTTTCAAACGCGGCTCTTCAGTGAAATCCCGGAGGAGGCTCGCTCGCCCACCCCACCCTGCAAGCATTGCACTTCCCGTTCACTCTGGCCGGTCAGGAACCCTAAATTGACAGTAACAAACACTGAGAAAAGAGGAAGTGGCAAAAGACCATTTCAAGACATTTTTTAAAGGGAGATCAATGGCCCTGTCTTTCCGGAAAACTTCCATGGGACGCTGCCACACACCCTCTGAAAGTTTCAGCGAATGACAATGTTGCAAAAGTGAGGCTGACTCCCCTTTAAAATACATATTTTTTAATCCTCGAAATCCTCTTGGTATCAAATCGATCCTTCCCCCTTAACAGCGACTGCAGCAAAACTAAGAGCCCCCATCCAGCTGGGGCGGATCTCGGAAGCCAGGCTCGGGGCCGGGTGCGCACCGGGTCCTCCCTGCCAAGCGGCAGAGGAGGAGCCGGCACCGCGGCGGCTGGAGGACCCGGCGAGCGCCTCCCTCACCTGGTTTGACTGGTTTCGGTGGCGGCTTCGACATCTCGCTTCCTGGAGCTGCAAATCCTTAAGGCCCCGCAGAAAAGTCCACCAACTGCCGCCACCTGGAACTCCGGGCACCCCGAGGTTGCTTTTTATCTGGCTTACAGCCGTGCGCCTCAGGTCCGGCGCCCACCCTAGGCTGAGAGACGAGCCGACGCAGGCAGAGCGGCTCCGCAGAGTTCCCCGCCCCGCGGCCGCCAGAGCCGTCGAGAGCGCGCGCCAGGACGACGAGGAAGTGGACGCCGCCTCGCCGAGCGCTAATTGGCTCCCGAGCTGGCAGCTTCGCCGCAGCGGGAGCGCAGGCGGCGCGCACGGCGGCGGAACCGGTCGGAGCGGAGCGAGGGTGAAGCGGGCACGCGTCAGGGCCGGCCGGGCCGCGCGCGCCCCCGATAGGGAAGGGCGGGAGCCGGGCAGGGGCGCGCGCCAGAGGCCAAGCTCGCCGGAGCTCCGCCCCAACGGGGACTGGAACCCGGCGCTGAGCCGGATGGAGTGGGGCCTCCGGTGGCCACCTCTAACCCGGGAGGGCGTTGGCCTCTCGGGGAGCGAGCTGCGGGTAGTGGCGCACTGGGGACTGGCAGCGCTTGGCCGTCGCCTCTCCGCTGTGTTTGGGAGGACTCGAACTGGAGCCAGGTGAGTGCGTACCTGCTCGCCACTACCGCGCCGCGCCGCCTCGCTGGGGCCTGTAGGTGTCTCTATAGGGTTTCTGTGCTGGAGCCCGGGACTTGGTTGCGCCCTGAAAGCCCTGCCGGGACTCCTGCCACCTTCACAGAACTGATAGATGGCCTGCCGAGGAGGACGTGGACTCCTAATGGCGTGGTGCTCTAGCGCCCCGGAAAAATCCTGAAAATGGGAACGCTGCCTCCCAGAGACCGCGCAGTTGGGAGAAGTGGCCAGGATCTTGATCCTCGCGACTCGAGAGGGTCTCATTCCTCTAGCTTTGGGGCGATGAACTACCGCCCGCCTGCTGCCTGTTATTCTAAGGCCTGCTAAGAATTTTTATTTTACTTTTTTTAATGGTTGAAAAGAAATCAAAAGAAATATACTCTGTGGTACGTGAAAATTACGTGAAATTCCGATTTCATTGTCCGTAAAACTTTACTGGAACACGGTCACGCTCATTTGTTTCTGCGTTGTCTGTGGCGGCTTTCGCATTACCTGGCAGGGTTGAGTAGCAGCCGTCAAAGCCCAAAGCATTTCCTACCTGGCACTTTACAGAAAAAGTATGCCGACCCCTGGCCTAGCGGATTCAATCTTCGGTGGGAGGAAAGAACTGGAGCACACAAGGAAGCCAATAGCATAAATTCAAAGTAATAGTCAATATGGTAAACCAATTGTATATTTGGGGAAAGAAAAAGCTATTTACAAAAGAGCCTATATAAATGAAACCAACGGGGGAGGGGCATGAATGGCGTTTTCAAAAACCCCAGCCTTGAGGGATTTGTTTACCAAAAGGGAGCAAAGTTTAAACAATAGTAGGAAAAGGCTGCCCTATCTCCTGGAAGAAGAGAATTAAAATAGCTGTTGTATAGAATACAGAGTGACAAGTCCTGGAAACATTTTCCTCTTTTTAAAATATCGGACTGTCCTGTAGATACATTTGAAGAGCACATTTAGCAGGAACATTGTCATCTGTCTTTCAGACCATTTGCATTAGTGAGTTGCCCTCTTCCTTACAATCTGCTGATTCTGCACATGCCACTTCTGAGCATTCTGTAATTTAGAATCCAAAATGTAAATATTTAGTAGTGAAATGAATCAAACATAATTAACACATATGCATTATGGAAAAATCCCAACATTTTACTTAGCATTAAAAGTGTAAGAAATAAAAATTAGTCATTTTACGTTTGCTATTGGCTTAGTTTGTTCTTCCACTACGCAAAAGCTCTCTGCTGTTGAGGAAAACTTTGCATGCTCTTGAAAAATAAACGACACAGATATTCCATGAGATTGAAGGTGGTATGTATTCCTAATGATTGGCATGCCCTGAAATGATGGAGCTGGCAGTTCAAAGGGTTGACGCTTAGGCCACATCACATGATTTAACAGTTTGTACGAAACTTAGATTTGCTTCATGAAGCCTGGCAAGTCATAATTGCAGGCTTTTTAAATTTGATTTGGTTTTGTTTTTGTTTTTTGAGGAGGTGGTTTTGGGGTTGTTATGTTTCTGTTTTTGTTTTGTTTTTTTTAATATAGGATCTTACTCTGTTGCCCAGGCTGAAATGCAGTGCCACAGTCACGTCCCACTGCAGTCTAGTAGTTCTTAGAGGGCCACAGGCAATTAAATAGTAGAACATGATGTGGAGGTGGACAGAGCCAGGCCTGAACTTGGAGCTCACCTAAAGCTGCCCTGTGCGTCCACACTGTTTTTGAAATAAATGGCTTCAGTGATTGCTAGGCCCACCTTCCACCCCACCGTAGTCACTTAGCCCAGTCTCTCTTGTCTCCATGTTCCAGTTTCTCACCCTTCCCATCACATTGTCACCTGCTCATTGCTGATAGGATATGCCCAACATTTACCCAAACACTGTCTTTGACAAGTCCAGACTGCTAACTAATGTAGAACTGGGAGTTCCTGTTTTGGTAAAAAAACAAACAAAAAAATTGCATTTGACGGTATCCAAGAGATTTTACAAGTAGGGTTTTTTTACTCCATCTCATTCCTGGTTCCTGAATGCAAGTAACGCCCTCAAGCCTATTTCCCATGCCACAACCATGCTCACTTGTTATTTACATGTCATGTAATTGATGCAGTAGCCACACATGTAAGCACAGATGTGCCAATTAGGATGGGGACCAGTAGTCCTTTCCATTCTGTGTGCACAGCAAATAGATGCCCCATCAATAATGCATCAGTAAGAATGACTTCAATTATACAACACAGCCTGACAATTAAACTGGCACATGTGCAACACCCTTTCTTTGCTGTTAGTAATAAAGTGCTTTTTAGCAGCTTGGAGTGATGGAGAGAAGTCTACTTAATTGTTTTAGTTTTGTATCTGACTTTTTTGCTAACTATCTTAGGCAAATCACTCTATTGTCAGAGCCAGTTTCCACTTTTGCAAAATGAAATGGAAACCAGTATGAAATGAAATGGAAATCAAAATGAAATGAAAGGCCAAGTAATCTCTAAAGTTATATATCTCCAAGTTTGGGAATTTATGCTTCAACAAGCTATCCCAAAATAAGCAAGATGGAGGCAAGGAATGATAATGTTTTATGAATTTTTGTTTTATTTGGTCAAGTGAGGATATCACTCTACCACCATCCACTGACAACATAATTTGTAAGAGAAAGAACATTTATCACCACAAAAGTGAGATAAAGAGCAGCCTCGCCCTCCCCCACCCCCCAAAAAAAGGCTGGTTGCCAGCATGGCACTGACATACCAAAAAAGTAAGAACAGGGTAAAATAAAATTCAAAAGCAGAAAAATTATAACATAAAAATATATTTTATAATATTCATTATATGCAGTAGTTCCCTCAATATACCTTGGAAATTTGGATGGAGATGTATATTTGATAACATAACTTTGGATGAAATGCGAATATCCAACTTGTTCTATTTTATTTTATTTTTTGAGACAGGGTCTCACTTTGTCACCCATGCTGGAGTGTAGTCTCCCAATTTTCACTCACTGCTACCCCCACCTTGGGGGCTCAAGCAGTCCTCCCACCTTGGCCTCCAAAGTAGGTGAGACTACAGGAGCATGCCATCATGCCTGGCTAATCTTTTGTATTTTTGGTAGAGACAGGATTTTGCCATGTTGCCTAGGCTGGTCTCAAACTCCTGACCTCAAGCAATCCGCCTGCTTTGGCCTCCCAAAGTGCTGGGATTATAAGCATAAGCCACCGTGCCTAGCTGCTATTTTATCACAGTCATTATTGAATTCTTGTCTCACATAGACTTGTTAATAGAAGTAGACTCCAGTCTTAAGCAGTTGTACTCAATGTGGAATATTCTGGATAAGCCAAGAAGTCAGGCAATAATAGCCCTCTCCCCACTATGCTTTTTTTCTCCATAACTCCAGGGAGAGTGTGAACACAGATCATAGAAACTGGAGCATTGCTGGGAGCTTCCAGCTTGGCAGCCACTTGCCCCCAGCTACACAGCCTAGGTCCCTGACCACCCACCTTGAACAGACAAGAATGAAGAACAGTAGCCATCAGGGATGACCTTCAAGAACCACTATTCTAAGATTACCTCCAGCTGCGCTTTATCTTCTCACTTAGTAATGAAAAATGGTCCATTGTAATAACCAAGGACTGCTTTAGTGAACCTTAGGGAAGCATGTATGAAACTGTCCGCTGTCCCCTAGACCAAAGGTCCACAAAACAGCAGCCTGTAGCTTAACCTGGCCCTCTGCCTGAACATTTGCAGTTTCATGTAGAAAGCACTACAGAAATCCAGTTAAGGGAAATGATAGCCCAATAAAAGGGACTTTCATTCTTTGTCATTAGTAGACCTGTTTTTAAAAAATTATGATTATATATTGAATTTCATGAAAAATTTGTGAAAATGTTTTTCCTCTTGTTATGTAAGTCCATACCTAACAACTTAGATTTTGCCTTTTGGCCCACACAGTGTCAAATACTTACTAACTGGCCTGTTTCCAAAAAAATATACCTAGCTAGGTATGATACCAGGCTTTTGGGTGAAGAAATAGTGTCCTTAAAGGGTATTAGCTTCTTTTTGCCTGTGATTACCCAGGTGCCTGAATCGTGCAGGTGGAAGGCAACCTGGCTAAGGAGAGGATGAAACTTCATATAACACACTGTGGCCTAGCAACTCTTCCACACCCAGAAAACAGATGTTCAGGGGGAAGTGCTCAGGCAGCTCACCTGAAATTGAACTGGTTGACAGGCCCTGAGCACACCCCAGCTATTGGCACTCGGTGGTAGTAGGGGAAGCCAATGCAGTGAGGAATGTGGATAATGCAAGCCTGGGCTGAGAGGTCACTGTCATCTTCCCCTCTCAGCTGGTGCTTCTAATTTAGGATTCTTTCTTTTGACATCTAAATGATATGCATTTGATTTTTTTTCTTTTAGAAAATACTAGGAAGCTGATTTTCAAAGCTAATTATGAAAACATTTATCATTGGAATCAGTGGGTGAGTAATTTTGCTACAAACCGCTTTTTAAGATACTGAGGATGTCCAAATGGTGATTCTTTGTGGATGGAGTAGGTGACGGAGAAGCAGTGAGGATTCCAGAGTCCTGGGGAAGAGCAGACTGCTGTGGAGATCAGTAGAGTGCTGGCTTCATTAATGCCAACAAGAGATGGAAGATGGAAGAGTGTCCTATAAACAGAGAAACAGAAGAGTCAGTCAACCATGTTTACATACTTTCCCATTTATTTTGTGGAGCTTACACCAGAGGCAAGGTCTGATTGGGCACTGCTTTCGTTCAAGATGATTTATCATTTTCTATATGGGTGTTCCTCCAGCATGGCAGAGGAGAAAACTTACTGTTTCTTTCCAGCTATGCCCAGCTTCAGACATGTGGTATAAAGAACATCCTTACCTCCATTCCTTTCCCCCATGTTTTGGGTGGCTTTATGTCCCATGTTGACCAAGCTAATGCTGTGGCCTTGGATATACTTCTCTTACTCTCAAACATGTTCTAAATTGTATGGTCATCCTACCTGTGGTCAGAGGCAGGCATGCAAATAAGACATCAACATCAACTGAAAATGACATTATTTGTTTTGCTACCATATTATGTTCATCTTTAAGTACATTCACATTATGTGTGACCCAATTAATAAAATATTTGAGACTATTTTGTTTATAATTTTGGGGAGATCATTGTGTTATTGTATTACATTACCATAATAAGTCATCAATCAGAAGTAAAATTGAGTGAACTAAATGTCAGAACTCTGCTTTGCCTCCCATCTAAAGAAAAGTTCAGTTTTTCTCTGCAGTACTTCTCTTGGGTTTCTCTTCCTTCCCACAATCACTGCCACCATCCTAATATAGGCCATAATTCCCTAATCCCCATCTTTCCCTTCTAATCTTTCCTTCACACCTCCACCAGTTTCATCTTCATACAGAACATTTTAATTCTCTGCCTGGTGAATGATATTCGGTGGTTCCCAGTTATCTAGAACTAAATCTGAATATCATGGTATATGAAAGCCATCCATAAATAATAAAGGAAATGTATCCACCTCAGGAGGAGCAGGCTGCAGGAAAGGTTTGATACAGGAGCTCAGTGGTATCACCAAAGAGTTTCTCCCTCTTCTATACCTCTTTCATTTGGGTTCATCTTAGAATTGGCTTATCTTTTGGTCACAAGGAACTACAAGGAGCCCTGTGACTTCTTGTTTCTTCATAGGCTGTCACTGCGCAGAAGGGAAAATGCTTCTCTTCCCCTAGATCATAGGTCTCCCTATGACTGGACAAGTTTGGTCCACGTACACCCAGCCACTGTGGTAAAATAGATGGGATTATATTGATTGGTTTAGGTCTGTGGGTTCTGTTCTGGAATTGAGAATGGGATCAGTCCCAGCTGGACCTAAAAGACAGAAATGGGACCTGGAGAGGCAACTACAAAGTCCACTGCAGGATCCAATGTTATAAATAAGATTTCCCTCTTCTCAATGTCCCAGTACAGGGCCATACCTAGAAACCTACCTCATGTCTTCTTGTCCTGTGCACTAAGTACTATCCATAACTTCCTAAGAAAGCCTCCTTTCCACTCTCTTTTCTTTAGCAAGTGTCATGATTTCTCCTTTTTTTTCTTTCTTAAGAGACAGGATTTCACTATGTTTTCCAGGCTGTTCTTGAACTACTGGCCTCAAACAGTCCTTCCACCTTGGCCTCCCAAATGCTAGGATTACAAGGATGAGCCTCTGTACCTGGCCAAGTGCCTTGATTTCATTTTAGTGCTGCTGCATCTGTGAAGCCCATGCCAGATTCAGTTGTGGCAACTTTTGTTCCTGACTTGCATCTTATGAACTTAACCACTCACTTCCCTAGGAAATAATTATCCAATAAGTCTCAATCAAATAATGAGTTCATAGGGAAGTAATAACTTAGTAATTATTCACTTGTAAATAATGGGGTTCTGAAGGAATTCAGGGGATATCCATTAACCTCCAGGAAATTTAACAGAAATGTAAAGACAGTCATTTTTCTGGGTGTGTTAGTCCATTTGTCTTGCTACAAAGGAAAGCCTGAAGCTGAGTAATTTATAAAGAAAATAGGTTATTTGGCTCACTGTTCTGCAGGCTGTACAGGAAGCATGGTGTTGGTATGGGCTTCTGATGAGGGCCTCAAGAAGCTTACACTCATGATGGAAGGTGAAGGGGACCCAGCATGTCATATGGCAGAAGAAGGAGCAAGAGAGAGAGGGAGGTCTTAGACTTTTTAAACAGCCAGCTGTCACATGAACCAACAGAGCAAGAACTCACTCATTACCATGGCGATGGCACCAAACCCTTCATGAGGGATCTGCTCCCATGAGCTAAACATCTGCCAGCAGGCCCCATCTCCAACTTGGGGATCACATTTCTTTTTTCAGATGGAGTCTCGCTTGCCCAGGCTGGAGTGCAGTGGTGTGATCTCAGCTCACAGGCTAGAGTGCAGTGGCACGATCTCAGTTCACAACTTTCATCTCCTAGATTCAAGCAATTCTCCTGCCTCAGCCTCCTGAGTAGCTGGGAGTACAGGGTCCACCACCACATGCAGCTAATTTTTGTATTTTTAATAGAGATGGGGTTTCACCGTGTTGACCAGGCTGGTCTTGAACTCCTGACCTCAGGTGATCCGCCCACCTTGGCCTCCCAAAGTGTTGGGATTACAGGTGTGAGCCACTGTGCCTGGCCAAGGATCATATTTCAATATGAGATTTGGGGGGAAAAATATCCAAACTCAGTCACTGGGGAAAGAGATCATAACTTTCATGGGATTCTCTTAGAGTCCCACAACATAAAAAAGTTTAAAATCCATTTTGGCAGTAGACTTTGTATCCCATCTCCATTACTTAACGTAGACCAGTTTTATTAGTATACAACTTATCAATCCATAGTTTGCTCAACTGGAAGACTGGAATATTAGCATCCACCTGTTGCAATATATTCTCTATATGTTTAAATAATTATAGACTGCCTTTTAACTTCTCCCTAGCCCACAGTTGTTTTCAAATACAATGAGCCCTCTTGTTACCTGGCACGTAAAACTAAATGGTCCAGGAGTTGTGCATTTATTTGGGTGTTGTGAGCAAGTAGTCACCCTTTTTCCTTCTTCAGATCCTAGAAAAGAATACATGCTGGGCAGGCTTATCCTCATGTTGGATAGCACACATGAGAGCAAGGCTGTGAGGTGGTTGTGGGTGTGCCACAGGAGGAGATTGAGTCCTGAGCTGTCACCTGACCAGGATGTCTACAGTCTGAGTGTGGATCTTAGGTGCAGGCTTGTTTAAATACTTCTTCCTCCCTTTTCCTCTCCATGTCTCAGCAAACTGTCTTCTAGCCAGTCTGTCTCCTCTAAGGCTTATACAAAAATGGGGTGTGTATTTCTCATTGGCTTTAGCTAAGTCAGTGAGAAAGGATCTGATTGCTACTCTTAGTTTGACTGTATGATCTTAACAGAGATAAGTCTAGAAAATGACAGATTTTTCTAGCCAGATTGTTCATATTGTAATAAAGTCACCCCGATCACTACTTCATTTAAACCAAAACTTAATACCTAAACTATGGACATTTGGTATGGTTCATAGACATTTTTGTTAAAGAGGGGGAAACGTCATAATATTTTCTCAATACATAGGGTAGCACCCACTCACTTTTCCAAAGAGATGGCCTATATCCTACCCAATTGTATATCGTAAGGTTAAATGAGAAATTTTGTGAATCAGGTTTCTTCTTCCTTGAGGCATAAGGTATATACAAGCTATGTGACGAATGGATATTAGTTCATTTTCCCTTTTCTAGATTGTATTTGTGGATTGATCTCATCTGGGATTAAGCACAGTTTCTTACAAATAGATGTGTAGTCAGGAGTTTTTTGTGCTGTGAACATTTGATGGTATGATGAAATCTTGATCTTAGAGTAATAGTTTTAAGTGTACAAAATAAAATACATGAATACAAAGGAAATTGGTTATATTGAAATATAGTTATAAAAATTTTTGAAAACAGATTTGTGATATTGTAATATATACTCTTCTATGTTAATATATTAAATAACAGTATCCAGAGGTGGGTCTATACAATGCCATGAATCTGAAATAATAATAAACATCAATGATGCTTCAAGATATCCACCCCAACTGCAACATAATATGAAAATAGCTGTGATTTCTGTTGATGAATGTCAAGCGTACTTATATCACTTACAATTAAATGTTAGAATTCAATGAAAATAAAGGTATAATTTTTTTCTCATTCAGGTTCACAAATGCCCTGACTTATGTTGCTGACTTATGTTGCAGACATAAGTCAGATTAAAACACTCTTTCAGTAAATTACTGAATAGAGAAGTGCCTCCCTCCTATGTGATCTCCTAGATGCTAGGAAACTAGATCTAAAGAGGAGTAACTCAGTGCCCCTTCTTCTGGACTTCACAGTCCATCCAGAAGGGACAAATAACTGGCCTGATGTGATAAGCTGCAACAACAGACCTCCCAGCTGGCCCCCAGGTGGAGAGAGATGGGGAAAAGGAGGCATCACAGAGGACATGTGATTTCATCGTAGGTGGGCTTATAATAAGCCATTCCTCTGTTTTTTTGCACTATGCCTGGACACAAAATCACAGTGACCATATGCAGTTTTATACACTTGCACTAAAATGTGCTACTCATATTCTCTGAGCTGTGTATGAACCATGTGAATATTTTGTCATAGACAAAAAAAAATTTCACTCACAACACAGTATCTGTATTTTTAAGTGTTAGTGTTAGTTCACTCGCTCAGTAGTTACCTTTCTGCTTCATCTTTCTCAGCTTATTTCTTATCATTTAGTACATCAGATCTGCCAGTGCCTGTGGTTTTCAGTATTATCTATGACAGAAATCATTTTTTTTCTTAAATAGTAAATATTGCTTCAAATATCCTCTTAAAAAATTATTTTAAAGTGTTGAATGATTTTTGGCCAGGCGTAGTGGCTCATGCCTAATCCTAGCACGTTGGGAGACGGAGGTGGGTAGATCACCGGAGGTCAGGAATTTCAGACAAGCCTGTTTAACACGGCAAAACCCCGTCTCTACTAAAAATACAAAAATTAGCAGGGCATGGTGGCGGGTGCCTGTAATTCCAGCTACTTGAGAGGCTGAGGCAGGAGAATCGCTTGAACCCAGGAGGCGGTGGTTGGAGTGAGCCAAGATTGTGCCACTGCACTCCTGCCTGGGTGACACAGCGAGACGCCATCTCTCTTAAAAAAAAAAAAAAGTTTAATGATTTTTTTTAATGCATTTTCCTTCTTGGTACTTTTTTTCTTTGCTTCAGTGTAACAAACGGTGGGAAAACAACACTGGCTAAGAATTTGCAGAAACATCTCCCAAATTGCAGTATCATATGTCAGGATGATTTCTTCAAGGTATCTATAAAACTTCTTAATTTATTTAATACAAAAATATTTAACCACAAAATTAATTGAAGTACATCCAAGAAGTCTTTGGCGAGTGTACCTTTTGTATTGAAAGGCTCAGTTGCTAGGGGCGGTGGCTCACACCTGTAATCCCAGCACTTTGGGAGGCCAAGGCAGACAGATCACCTGAGGTCGAGAGTTCCAGATCAGCCTGATCAACATGGAGAAACCCTGTCCCTACTAAAAATACAAAATTAGCCAGGTGTGGTGGTGCATGCCTGTAATCCCAGCTACTTAGGAGGCTGAGGCAAGAGAATCACCTGAACCCGGGAGGCAGAGGTTGTGGTGCCATTGCACTCCAGGCTGGGCAACAAGAGCGAAACTCTGTCTCCAAAAAAAAAAAACAACACTAGGCTCAGCACAATGATGTTACTTATCCACTAGATGGCACTGTCTATCAGTGCTTTCATTGATCATCCAAAGCATTTATTAAAGACTTACCACGCTTTAATCTTTATTATTTATTTCCTACACACCATTTTGATGGGTATTTTATTATTTTTCTAGCCAGAGTCTGAGATAGAGACAGATAAAAATGGATTTTTGCAGTATGATGGTAAGTAGCTTTCCCTATCAAATATTATGTGCTTATGTTCATTTTCTTTTTCAAACACAAAGAACTTCACTATGTTGAACTTGATGGTTCTGTGGAACAAAAATTTGAAAAAAGAACTTTACTATATCTCTGAAGACAGTCTTAAAATGTGTTTAAATATATTTCTATACTTTAAGCCTGCCTTTCTGGGTTTCTGATTTATGTTGAACTATTTAAGTAAGTTAAACCCTTTTTCTTTCTTTTTCTTTTTCTTTTTTTACAGCAGAGGAGGTTTAATAGGATAAGTCAGCTACATTTTTAATGTTATCAACTTGTTATCATTAATGTGTATACATTAGCGCCCTATTGAAAGGAAATAAGTCTTTGGGCAAAACTTAAGAGATTCTTTGAGGGACCTACTGCCTGAACCTTTAAAAAAAACTCTAAAGGCCTTATAGTCTGTTGCTATTCCATTTCATTTTAACTATCAACATTGGAGTTGCAGTTGGCTTTCTAAGTTGTCAGTTGTATTTTATGAGTCTACCAATGTGGCATTCAGAATCTGAGTGACCTGAAGAGGTAAGATTTAAGGAATACTTTAGTCCAAAAGCTTTAAAAAATTTTAGACCATATATTCTGTATTTTTAAAGTGAATTATGCATAGAAGTCCATGCAAACTATGACATAATTGCAATAACATTCTAAAGAAAAAAAAAAAAACCTAGTATACTTTAGCATCATTATTTAAGTTATATAAAATACATCTTTACAAAAGTACAGATTTTCTTTAAAAAGTTTAAATTATATCCACTGATATAGCAAGGCTTCCTGTTTAGTACTAAAATAAGGGTTTATCATTATTGCTTAGTCCTATGGAGCCATTGGAAACCTGTAACAAAAATCAAGTTCTGTTTCTTAAGGAAAAGTACCCTAAAAATTCAGCTGTCACTACACTTTTCTGAAGCTTTTCATCTGAGGAATCTTCCATAAAATTATTAACTGATGCTACCCCAGGCTTGGTTTGTCAGGATCCAAAGCTGAGTCTTGCAAAGTTCCTGCTTGTGCGAGGAAGCTGTTTGTCTCTTGTCCCCAATCATAGAAGTCTGGAGAAAAACCTCCCTGAAGTCCCTGAGGAGCAATGTTCCAGGCAAGGTCATCATCACTGTCATATCTTCGAGGGTTGTCAAAGAAATAAGATCTGGGACTGAATCCATGGCTGGGGACGATTCCAGGGTTGGTAAGGTCCTTTGTAGGATTTCTGACTCGGAAGAAATAAACTACTAAGGTGGTAGGTAAGAGTTCCCAAACAAAAAGCACCACTCCAAATAATACGTATCCAGCATCTCCCAGCTGATTCTTCAACTCTGCCTGGTCTGATACATTGTACCAGTCGTAATCAAAGGAATGGATGCTCTTGTTCTGAGAAAATGATAGAATGAACAGGTTGTAGCAGGCCCAAGAGGTGTACAGCAGTATCACAGTGACACCTATGGCAGTCACTTGACACTCAGAGGAGCCCTGGGACTCCAAGTAAATGTTGGCTAAGGACATCTTAGAGATTTTGTAGAGACAGATGGAGAGAGACACAGCACACAGCATGAAGAGGGTGTCATTAATGGCCACTCAAACGGAGACGATAACCTTCTCAATTTCCCATCTTCACCAGCACGGCACAGGTTAAATTCACCAACAGGAAAATAAGACTGATGAAGAGTGAGGCCAGGTAGAGGGGCAACCGGTATTTGAGTAATTCTGGAGAATATTTTGACTTGGCTTTGAAAATCACCTGCATGAAGTACAAGTTCATCAGTGTGAGGGTGAAGAACTGCAGGCACACGGGGAAGCAGCAGAGCAGCCAGAAGACCAAGGGGCTGAGCGATTTGGCCTCCACTAAGTCTTTGAAGTAGGAGACGAGGACAGTCTGCAGGGAGGCCCAGAAGAGGCAGAGGAAGAGGAAGACGCTCTGGTAGCTGAGCTGCTTGTGGCGGTAAGCGCAGCACCAGCCAGAGCGGCACGTAGATGAACACGAAGAGCAGAGTGTAGAACACGGTGTAGACGACAGTGAGGCTGAGCTTCACGTAGAGGAGCACAGCTGGGGTCAGCGTGGGTGGCAGCGAGTAGTTGCTGGCCGGGTCCGACGGCGGGGTCTCCATCGGGCGGGGGCGCTGCTGCACAGCCATGGAAGCTCCGGCGTCATCTGGACTCGCAGCGGCGCCGCCCCCGCGGGAGTCTCCGTGCATCGCGCTCCGTTTGCAGCCCTGAGACTGGAGGAAAGAAAACAAGCCGCACTTCCTCCCCCGCTACCACATGATTCGTGAAACCCTTTTTCCACGAAGCGTTGTTTTTATTATGGAGACAGGGTTTCACCATGTTGGCCAGGATGGTCTCTATCTCCTGACCTTGTGAGCCACCCAATTCTGCCTCCTAAAGTGCTAGGATTACAGGTGTGAGCCACCGTGCCCGGCCCTTTTTCCAATTTTATATTTAAAACTGAAAACATTGGGGCTAGGCTTGGAAGTTCCCATGTGTAATGCCAGCACTTTGGAAGGCCAAAGCAGGTAGATCACTTGAGCTCAGGAGTTTGAGACCAGCCTGGTTAACATAGGGAAATTCCATCTCTACCCAAAAAGAAATACAAAAATTAGCCAGGTGTGGTGGTGCACGCCTGTAGTCACAGCTACTTTGGAGGCTAAGGTGAGAGCATCACTTTGCCCAGGAGGCTGAGGTTGCAGTGAACTGAGATCACACCACTGCACTCCAGGCTATGTGATAGAGTTAGATCCTGTCGCAAAAATACGTATTTTTAAAAATAAAATAATAAAAATGAAAACACTGGAACGATAGATTTTTCTTTTTTTTAACTGAGGTAAAATATGCCTATATACAGAGGTTGCAGTGAGTCAAGATTGTGCCACTGCACTCCAGCACTGTGACAGTGCGAGACTGTCTCAAATAAAAAAAGCTCATCTAATTTACTGTCTTTACCAATCTTAAGTATACAGTTCATTGGTAATAAATACATTTACATTCTTTTTTTCTCCCTTCATTCCCTGCACGTGCCTCCCCTTCTGGGCCTCTGGTAACCACCAATCTACTCTCTATCTTCATAAAATCTACTTTTTTTCAGCTCCCACATATGCATACGAACATGTGATATTTGTGTTTCTATGCCTGACATATTTCATTTAACATAATGGCCTCCAGTTCCAGCCATGTTGCTGCAAATGAGAGGGCTTCGTTCTTTTTATGGCTGCATAATATTCCATTACATATAGACACCATACTTTCTTTATCCATTTATGCATCAATGGGTACCTAGGTTCATTTCATATTCTGGCTATTTGTGAATAGTGCTACAATAAACATGGGAGTGCAGATATTTTTTGGATATATTGATTTCTTTTATTTTGGATATATACCCAGTAATAGAATTGCTGGATCATATGGTAGTTCTATGTTTAATTTTTTGAGGCATTTCCGTGCCTCTCCATAGCAGCTGTACTACTTTACATTCCTACCAATAGTGTATGAGGGTTCCCCTTTATCTACATGGAAAGATAGGGTTCTCTTCTGAAGCAAGTTAGGCTTGTTGTCACTCTGCTCATTCCTGCCCTGGAGATGTAGAAGTAGCTACATTGGCCAGTCTCAACCCCACCCCATCAGAGAATTTTGCCTGAAGCAAACTATATTCTCTCATTCTTTTAGCTTTCCTTCCTGGTGGCCAAAGTACTAGACAGCTGTGGTTTTGTTTTGTTTTGTTTTGTTTTCACTCTTCAGAAACGCTTGTGAATATATTTTAGATAGATTCTCTTCATTCCTTACCCCAGGCTAACAGTTTTGAAGCCGAAGGATTACGGTCTATCATTAAACATTTTCTGTAGAGAATATCATGCTAATAGGCTGTTTAATATTTGGTGGTCTTATTAACTTTTATACTTAAAAAGATGATCATTGAGTACTTATACAAATTAGCAACAGAGGGAGCTCTCTTAAAAAATTCATAAAGTATGTTCTTTATTTTTAACTGATAACCTTTTAGGAAGCGTTATATAATTAGTTCTTAAGACACATAATAGTTTTATGGGAGGCAGAGTTCTTCACTTACTCTCTGTTCTTGTATCTTGAGTTGCAGCCAGGATCTTTTTTTTTCTCTTTCTCTCTTCCAGAGGTTAGTGAGAAAAATCACAAAATAAGGGTGAAAAACAAGAAAACAACTTTCAGCAGTTGGCAAAGAATTATTATTCCTATTTTTTAATGAATTCTTACAAACTCATAAGAAAAACTAATATCCCAATAGGAAAAGGGCCTAAGGATGTGAATAAGCTGTTCATAGAAGCAGTCATTTATTGGATTAATAAATATGCCATAAAAGTCAACCTTAAAGAACAAATTTTTTTTTTCCCACTTACCAAGTAAATGAAGATTTTTTAAAGCAATGACAATTATCCAATGATAGCATGGGCTCAGTAAAACAAAGGCCCTAATATACTTTAGATGGAAGTATATGGATAAATTGGTTGGTACAGCCTTTCTGGAAAGGAGGTTGAGCATGTGTCCCAAACTTAGCATGTTCATGCCATGACTTCAAGCATCTCACATCAAGAATCTATCTTAAGGAAAATATTGAACATTTTAGGTAAATGTATAAATTTAAGGCAAATCAAAGTACTAGTAAAGTCTTTCTAACCACAAACAGGATAGTTTTAAAATGTGGAACTATCAAGTTTTAAGAGGAAATAATTCTATTTTGAATGCAATATGGTTGATTAATATGAAATAAGTCAAAAATTAAAAATCAAAGGATGACCAGGTGTGGTGGCTCACAACCTGTAAGCCCAGCTCTTTGGGAGGCCAAAGTGGGTAGATTCCTTGAATCCAGAGAGTTCAAGACCAGCCTAACCAATATGGCAAAACCCTGTCTCTACAAATAATACAAAAATTAGCTAGGTGTGGTCCCCATTACTGGGGAGACTGAGGTGGGAGGGTCACCTGAGTCTAGAGGCAAAGGCTGCAGTGAGCCA